CGGGAGCGCCTCTGGGGTTGAGAGCCTCGGGACAGCTGGCACCATCCCGGGCCCATCCCGGGACCGCCGGGATCCTGCGGGGCTGAGACCCCCGGGATCATCGCGGGATCAGTCCCGGGATCCTGCGGGACCGCGGGGCTGGAGACCGTCGGGACCACCTTGGGATCATCCCGGCACCGTGGGGCTGAGACCCCCGGGACCGCCCCAGGATCATCCCGGGATCCTGCGGGGCTGAGACCCCCGGTATCATCCCGGGATCCTCCGGGACCCCCCCTGTTCTCCCGAGGGCCCTCGGGGTGTTGGGGTCGGAGCCTCCCGGCAGTTCCCCCCGGAGGAGCCGATCCCCGATCCCCTCTCCCGACCCCAGCCAGGCGAGCCCGGTGTTCTCCTGCCGGTGCTCGTGGTTATTCACGGTACCGGGGCCGGCTGCGCGCAGCCCTGCCCGTCCTCACCCGCCGAGGATCAGCCGAAATTATCGACCAGCCCACGCCATGGTAAATCACCGCAAAATCATTCTCAAACACATTAAAAACCAATTTATACTGTCTCGATCGATACCGTCTCTCAGCGCCTTTACGTGGGCAAGAAAACAGAGTAGAAAAAGGCAATTACTAATTGTGAATCATCCAGAGTTTCTAGAGCAATAAAATAAGGAAATCTCACGCTTTGCTAAATTTGGGATTTTGTGGACAATTCAGGAAAGTAGCATTTGGCAGTAGCTTGTACTCAGGACAAGATGTTACCTGTCAGCTACTGGGATCAAGCCTCAGGCATCTGAATTAGCTGTGAAAGTCTTTAGACCTTGCTAAAAAAAAAAATCTCTATAAGCAGGATAAAGCATGGATGGACAGTATTGTCAAAAGGACCTTTCAGAGTGCAAAGCTGACAGGATTTGGATCTGTAAATGCATTTATGCTGTACTTAGAATCGAGGGTTTATAGGTTTGGAGAAGTGAGCTGATACCCTTCAAAAGTCTGTTTTAAAGGGAAATACATGGAGGAGGTATCAATTTAAATATGATAATTGTATAGCTCGGAGCACTGACAGCACTGAAGTTATTGGAGAATAGTGCCCTGTAATCTCTCAAGCGGTGTTTTCACCTTTTCAGGCTGTGCCTTTAATGTTCTATTACTTTTGTCTGGAGCAGATGGTGTGATTTTGTAACTGATTGCCTGGTTTTGTAACTGATTGCCTGATCCTGGTTTCTGTTAGTCCTGCAGATCCACGGATTGGGGAAGAGCTAATAGGCCACACTCCTGTGAGCTTCAGGAGGACGTACTTCCCATGAGAAGCACCTGAAAAAATGGTGCTTTTTACCTCTGAAAACCTTTGAAGCTCTGAGAAGTAAATTTATTTTTTAAATGTTCTGCTGGAAGGTGCTGATTTACAGCCCCGGAGATGGAAAATCTCTGGGTGTCCACACAGCAGCTCCAGCACGAGCAGCAGCACTTTAAACCTTGTCCCCTTGCCTGATCAAACCCCTGGAATGATTAAATCACTTCTCAGATCCACAGCTGCCAATTCAGGGGCATAGTCTTGATCACTTACATGGTGAAACAGGCTGGGAGATAAAGGAGACACAGAGGGTGGGTTGGTGTAGGCACAGACAAATTACATTTCCATCATTCTGCTGCTCTTCCATGCCTGGGGTTTGCTGTGCTCCTGGTCCTCAGCTGTGCCTGATGCTCTCAGGAGTCACTGCAGCTCAGTATCTCTGCAGCTTTACTTCTGAGGGGGGAATTTTACTCCTGTGCCTCGATTTCTCTCCCTAATAGAGATGTGCTCCCACCTCACCTCGTCTGGATATCTCCTTGCAGCAACACATTGTAATTTTTACAAGTAACTTACCTTTGGATTTCTCTAATGATAAAGTAAAATCTCTCTTGAGTCTCATTCCCCCAACTTTCAGAGTTGGAAACTCACACAAGCTTATGTTGAAAAGGAATTGATTATTCAAAGCTCTTGTGCTTCATAATCTCCTTAAAACATGTAGATTGACTGTCTCATCAGGAAATCTCTATATTTTACTTTGCTATATGCCCATTGGGTTATGTGCTTAAGACCAGGAGACCTCTGGCTAGTTCCTCACAGGCTGTGTGCCCCTCCAATTACAGGTTATTAATTTGCCTTGCATTCCAGAGACAGTTCCACATGAGTGAAAAGGAATTCTGTACTGCAGAGTTCTTCATTACCTACTCTGTCTGTACTACAAAATAAGAATAATACTGATTGTTTTTTTCCTCTCTCTCTCTCTTTTTTTTTTTTTCCCTTCCCTCTGGTCTGTGGAAGATGTTTTACAGTTTTAATGCAGCTGTTTTAAGTGTGACTGTTGCTGTTCAAGGGCAGCTGATGTACTTTGTAATGCCACCAAGCAGCCAACAAGCTCTGTTCCCCCATTGTGTTGAAGTGATAGGTATGTTTGCTAATCAAGAGGAGAGCAGAGCTTGCTGTCTGACTTGTTTATGTTTTATTTCTCACCATCAAGCTTTAGAGGGAGGCACAGAAAATATGTAAGCATCTATATTATTCAGTGATGTATATGTGTACATGGTGCTGCTGATGTCTTGCAGTCACTCCTGGCTGAAGGCAGAGATGTGCCAGGTGTCCCCAGCATCCCTCAGAGCACCCCAAACCTGGCATGCCATTAGATAAACTATGAATTCATTGCCTCTGAATCTCAGGTTTTATCCCCCCTTGTGTGATTGCTTCAGTTTTTTTCCAAAGTAGTGACCACAGTGCAGGATTTTGGTCATCAGAGTTCACAGGAGCTCTGTGGGAAGGGCTCAGGCCCAGGAGATGCCCCAGGTTCCCACCACAATTTCAATTTCCTCCTAGGCTGCAGTGTTTCTCCTTCCCATATGAAGGATGGAAGCAATGAGGAGCTGGGGAATCTCCCAGGATGTGCAGGAAGCTCAGCAGCACAGGAGATCCATTTTCTGTGCCATTCCTGGCCCTTCCAGCCCTGATCCCTGCTCGGCTGACAGGGATGACAGCTCTGCCAGAATCCTACTGCAGTTTTACTCATTGTTTGGAGGTTTTGTTCCAATTCCTTGCAAAACTGTTTTCAGCATTCTGAAATGACAAAATAATATCATGTCAGCTGGCATCTCTGTAAATCCCTGTCAATGATTCCAGCAGGAATTGTCATAAAATAACACATATGAAGAAAGTTTAGTGCTGCAGCCAGAAATTCTGGACTATGGGAAAATTCAACTGCTCTTTGTATGGAATGCATTTTTGGGAAAGAGAAATCTTGGGTTTGTTTGTTGTTCTTTATTCCTGCTAGGATGTATTGGGTTGGTATTAATTCTTGTAAGCTGGGGGGTGGAGAGGCAACTGCCCTGGAAAGAGCACTGAAATCCTCCTGCTCTCCCTGCCAGGCCTGCCTGCAGCTCAGTCTTGGATGGGGAAGAAGCTTCCATCTGATAAAATTCCTTCCTGCTGCTGTGCTATTGTTGCAGTTAATTTTATGAATCCCATTTTTAACAGAATACTCAGGTTTTGCATTGTCATTTTGCTCTTTGTCAAGTGTGTGGGTTTATTCCTTTCCTTTTTTTTTCCTCCTTTCAGCAGATGGAGAATATTACTCTCTTTAACTTGTTCTTTTATAATGTGAAGTGGATATCCTCAATTAATACACTAATCTGTTTCCTAATTAATTCCCTGCGGTTCTCCTCTCTTTTTGCTGGTGCATTGAATTCTGAGTGCAGTTCTGTAAACTCAGTAATTTGATTATTTAAAGGAGAAGCCATGAATTTCATGATAGAGGCACAATGTTAAATTCCAGGAGCAAATGGATTCCATTATTGCAGTTTAAAACCTGCTTGTTCCCGGGGTGGAACTGTGCACTGCTAATAATTCACTCTGCTAAAATCCAGGCAGATTGCTGTCAGCTTGTCCTGAAGAGAAGTGCAGTGCTAGAAATCTGACACATACACTCTCCTACAAGCACTTGTTGTTGTATTTTTGTATGCAGATGTGATGGCAGGGTGAGCATCAAAACATCAACCTGCCACGAAGGGGATTTATGTAGCAATTTCTCTCTTGTTTTCAGTGGAGGCACTGGTGGATCAGACAGATAAAGGGAAGGGGCTCTCCTGCTGCTTGGGAATTGGTTTGGCTGCTGCTTTGGGAAGCAGCTCCAGGTGATTCTGCTGTCCTTTCTTTGGGGTGATTTGACACTGAGCCCAAGACATGACAGCAGTCATTGGAAAATCTATAGCCACTCTTGCTGAACTTAATAATTTAATTCTGAGCACACCCCTTTCCCCCAAAGAGAGAGAAAATCCAAATTTTCCAAATTTTAAGTATCTTAATTGAAGTATTTTACTTTATAAAGGCTCTAGTGAAAATGTGCAGGATACTTCCTTACCACTGTGTCCCAAAAAATAGAATTTTAAAAGCTCCACAGTAGTTGCACTCCCCGTCAGTATCTTGCTGATGTTCTCTCTTGCCCTAAAGAAAAAAAATAATAGAGGAAAAAAGAGCTTTTCAGCTCTAAAATTAGGGGTTCATCAATGCAGTAGTTAAGGTTGTTGAAATTAATTCTGAAAATTATTTTCAGTTGTAAGGTCTTCAAGCCTTTGGGTAGATTGGAGCAGTAGCACACAGAGACTGTTGTGGCAGAACCAATATCACCTGCAGAGTTCAATCCAGAATGCTCAGAAATCCCTTTCCTGCCTTAGGATTTCTTTTCTATGGTTCAGGTCATTGTTTTTGCATTTTGATGAGATTGTGTCACACACGTCACTGTGCCATCAGCCCAGTGTGGCTGAGAGGAAAAAGGACATTACAAAATTATGTGGGCACCAGGTTTTACCAAATCCTTTGCGAGTTTGGGGCTTCCATGACAACAGAGATGCAGAAGCCACCAATGCCCAGTGCCAGCCATTCCTAAATGGGATTAACTGTTTGGTTTGGCTCCAGGAGGGCTTGTGAGCATCTCCCTTCAGTGCAGACTCAGCACACAGAATAAATGTCACCTTTTTCCTCCTCTGCAGTGCCAGACAACCTTGTCCTGAGGCTGCTGACGGAACGCCTGAGCGCCCTGGACTGCCTGAGCCATGGCTGGGTGCTCTCTGGCTTCCCCAGGGATGTGGAGCAGGGGCTGCAGCTGCAGAAAGCACGGATTAACCCCAACAGGTGAGGCAGAAATCCAACCAGCACACCACTGCGGGCAGGAAGGGTTTGTCTGTGGACAGATACAGATCTTTGTTGATGTGGTTTGTGCTGCTGCCTCTCAGTTTTGGTTTCCTTAGTGAGGAAAGGGGTCCTGCTCCTGGAGAGGAGGAAATAAAGCCCTGGCCTGACAAATGCTCCAGATGGCCAAACTGTGGGAGAGAGAAGAGGTTTGTTGTTCTGGTTATTTGTTTGAGTTGCCTCTAAAGCCAAACCATAAGAAATGGATTAAAGTTTGGATTATATGAGAAGATGTATTTTATTTGCAGCAGGAGGCGGGGGGATCTACATCATCTTTCTTCAGCATTGACATAATACCATGGAAATATATTGGTATTGCAAGGAGCTCATTATGAGACTTTTGGGTTTTGTGAAATAATTAAAAACAACACGAGAATTACATTTTATTTGAGCTATAATGAATTGTTCAGAAATGTAATATGAGAGACATCAGCATCCAAAGAGAATTGTTACAGTGCCAAGCAAATAAAATAGAGTTACTTTTCACAGCTGGTCCAAAGGTGAGGATTTAAAGTGCTGGTGCACTCATCAAAGCTGAGAGGCTTTTCCATTCCCTTCCCAGCCCTTCCTGGCTCTGCCCATCCCACTGCCTGGCACAGTGGCCATTCCAAAGGCAAACATTGGAAATTTGTGATTTTTCTGCTTCCAAGGAAGATGCTCTTACCTGAAAAGTAGTGGCAGGAGAGGTGCATTACCCACATCAGTGTTTGATTTGGCAAAGTTGCTCTCCCTGGGTGATTGCCCTGGATTCCCTCCTGTACAGGGGAAGGAGAAAGGTGGAAAAGGTTGGGGGTGAGAATAGAGGGGGGTGCAGAGGGAGGGAGCTCTTCATCCATCAAGGTTTGATAAGGAAAGTGTGTGAAAGCAGCAGTAACTTTATTTATCCAAAGTAAGACTTTGTGCATCTTAAACAGGAACCCATTGCATGGAAAAAAATGGAGAAAGAGCCTCCAAACCTGTGTTGGACTCAGTGAAACATAATTTCCCAGAGATTATTCTCCTTGTGCATTTAGAAGGAAGGTGCAGAATCCCTGAGCACTCAGAGTCCCTGAGATCAGTGTGAATTCTGGAGTGTGCCCCTTGTGCTCCTTCACAGGGCTGGGACCTCATCAAGGCAGGAGGAGCCACTCATTAGAGACGTGGATGAGTGGGAATTCAGCACTGATCCATTTGCTCAGCCTCCCTTCACTTTAAAGAGCTCTGCACGTTCACATCCGAGTTTGGAATTTGGTCCCTGTTTTATACAGGGCTGGAAGTGAGGGGCAGAAATAGGCATGGAGCTCCCTGATTGATCTCAGAGCTGATATTTTCCATGAAGCTGAAGGGGTAGGGATGTGAAGGAGAGAGGGTGATTATAAACAAAAGGACACATTGCAGCACAGGATAGCAGGGCAGTAATTCAGTTTCAGTTGTGATGCTAGTTATAAAACACTATCTGCAGAGGTGGTGTTTCTGACATCAGGAGAAAAACCTGATAGAATTATAGCCTTGAAATCAATCTGGGAATAGGATGCAGAAATCTATAAATCAGACACAGAACAATCTACAAAGTCTCATTTTTAGGAGGGCTCAGTTGATGAAATTAGATTAAAATAAATTTACATATATATCAAGTTTATTATTAAAATCTAGTCACATCAGTAAACAAAATTATTTGTGAAAGAGAATGTTACTCTGCTTTTTGAACTCAGAGTAGACCTCTTTGGCTGATCAGAACACAGAGTTATTGTCTGCTTGTCAAGTCACAAATCTATTCCTTAGGGCTAATAAATGGTTAGTGTTCAAATACTATGTTTTATCTGACTCCCACCTCATAAAGCTACCACACATAATACTAAATTATACAGCATTGAGCAGGATCAGTCTCCTGACTCCTCCATCTTACAGAAAGAAAAACAAACCTAGTAATTGATGGTAGAAAAGAAGGAAAATAAAGTTATTTGAAAACAAACAAAATGGGCTATAAAGTTTGTTAAAATGTAATAATAAGGAAAAAAAAAAAAACCCTGATACAGCATCAGCTACCACATCCAAAGAACTGCTCTGGAAGAAAAAGGAAAATAATTCAGTTTTCACTGAAAAAGCAGGGGCTTTCTTTAAATTAGAATTTGCAGCAGAATGAGGGTTTGCTGGTGGACTGGCACAGGAAAAGCTGCAAACTCTGTCTCCCAAGGAGCCCAGAGAGGAGGGAGCTGCTCTGAGCTCCCCCTGTGAAGCAGCTCCTGCCTAAGTGGACAGGATCCTGCTGGCATTGAACCGGGGCAGCCTTCAGGGCAAATAAGGAGCTGGATCTGTTAATGGCCTCTCAACTGGGACTAAAAGATTAACCATTTATTGCCATTAACCTCTTGGTGCCCACCTGAGCGGGATCCACGGCCACAGGGAGCTCTGACACAAAGCACTGGCTTCAGTTCCTCACCCAAAGGAGGGGTTCAGCTGTTTTAATTAGTGCTTAAGCAACAAAAATAAATGTATGATATAGCCATGGGTGGTTCTTCTGAAAACTCAGTGCAATATCCACCAAGGGTTTTTTTTTATCCTTTTTGCTCTCTCTCAAACTTGGAGTTAGAATAAGATTCAGCAGCAGCAGCAGGGTCGTGTTGTGAACCTCTGGCTGTCACCTTCAGCTGGTCCCTGATCCTTCCTCTGCAGGGCCAGCTTGAGGCAATCAGAAATGTAAGGATTCCCTGAGCTAGAGGATCCTCTAGAACACTTCCAATCCCCCCTTTTCCTTGAGTTTATAATCTCTTTTTAAACCTTTGGGCCACCAAATCACGTGGAAAGGAGTTTCTCATTTCACTGGGTGTCATATCAAAATACTTCATAATTCTTTTTTTCCAGGTGCATTTCTTCTCTTGAGAAGCAGTTACAGACATTCCCTGGTCCTGTCTTCCAATATTCCTGATTTTCTAAGCCTCTTGTATTTGCCCTTCAGTCACCTCTTTCCCAGACAAAGAACCTTGATCTGTTTATCCTTTTTTTTCCTAGAAATCATTTCACTCTTTTGATCATCCTGTTCTCTCCCTCACTGGGCATTCCAGCTTTTTTTTTTTTTTTTTTTGCTGAGTTGGAACACCCAGAACTGCATTTGAGGGCAGCACCGTGCACTGGAGGTGGATATAATAAACATTTTTATTTTGATCTTAACTCCATCACTCATAATTGCTGATATTCTCTCAGGTGTTACTGGGATAGATTTTGGAATAACAGCTTCTGTGTGCAGACTGTGATAACTAAACATTGTGAAAACACACAAAAAATTTACAAAGTGTGAAAAATCTCAGTTGAGTGGGTTTAAACTCAGAGAGATCTAAGGAGAGCCTTTAACTCAAGATTTCTGTATTGAAGCTGGAGGCAGGTTTGTGTTGGAGCTCTCCTCAAGCCCTCCCATCAGTGCCAAAGGCTCTGCTGCTGCCTCTCCTGGGATTGTCACTTCCCTTCTCCATTATTTCCTTGATTTTGTCCTTCTGATCTGAATCCAGGGTCAGTTACTTTACCTTCAGTGTTGATTAATTACATTACAAATAATGCAAGTGAAGACAAAACCGGGCAGGGGAGGGCTGAGTCAAAGGATTGGCCTAACAATTCATCCAGAATATATTTCTAATACCCATTTTTCCAAAATTAAAGTGGTTTCTTTCCCAGTAGAGAAAATAAACAGCAACAGCTTCTCCAGTGCAAGCTTTCCAGCAGGGTTTTATTTGGTCTTCAAAATGATGTGGCTGTGTTCCCAATTATGTCATCTTTTTACATAATATATTTAAAGCTTCTTTTTCACCACGCTGCTGAGAACATGTATTCAAACAGTTTAGGATAATGAAGTCCTAATTTCTAAGGAAGAATCTTTGAATATGTTGAAAAGGGAGAAATCAGAATGGGGAAAGAAAAGAGATTTTTTTGAACTACTTGGTCTTTACATGGGGCTTTCATATTTCTGCAGCTGATCCCAATGTGGATTAGGGATAATAAACAGCCTATTAATGGAGGCCTGAACTAGGAAATGGAGTTGGAATCAGCAGTAAAATTCAATGGCTGGTGAAGGTTAATAACTCCATTACTATCAGCTCTATTTTTGAGCCGTTTGAAGAGCTGGGTGTTAGCCTTACCTTACTCCTCATTAATTGAGCTAATAGAACCCCAGTGACCCCACCATGCTGCCATTATCTGAGAGTTTACCAGACATGGACTGGAATACTTATCACTGAATATGTATTCCTCAGATTCATTTTTATATCAGAAATATTTTTGTTAAAGATCTCCTGCCTTCAGGTTCCTTTTTTGCCTTTTCATTTCTTTGCTGCCTTTTGCAATAGCTACTTATTTGGAAATTACATGTAAATGACTTAATTAAATCCCTATCAAGGAACAAGCTAAATCCCAAAATAGTTGCATCAAGGAAACATGATAGTGATTGAATTATTCTGATGTGGAAAAATCTTACAGAGCATTTTAAAAACTTTGACCTAATTTAAATCATGGATATTGTGTATTTATAATAGGTGTGGTTTTAGTTGATGGCATACAAAAATCTGATAAGTAGCAAAGAAGAAATGTTATATCTTATTTTCTCCTCATTTTAAGGCAAAAAAACCAAACCAAACAAAACAACGAGAAAAATGATGTGCTAATCAAGGGACTAAATCAGTATCATAAAATTTGCCTGCACCAGAGAGACAGGGAAACTGTAGGAAAGTCCAAGTGAACTATGTAGGATTTGGATTAATTTGTAAAATAGTAAAAATAATAGGCAGCACAATTCTCTGTTTCAATCATTCTCATTTTTTCCTCAGCTCACTCTTCCAGCCATTCTGTGGCTGCTGCTTTAGTGACTCTTTCCTTCACTCTCACTAATTGGTTTGGGTTCATTTTCCCTTTGCATTTCAGTGCTCCCATCTCACCTGGGCTCTTCTCCTCCATCCCCAGACCAAACAGGCTTTTGTAAA